CCACAGGGCCAGTGTCATACCAAGAGAGCTGCTGTCTGCCTCAGGACCCACAGAAATACCTTGGATAATATCCTTTTTCCCTTCACTTTCTGCCTGGACTGTGCCAGTCCATCAGGGGGTGTGTGTCCCTTTTCCTTGCAAATGCCCTACAGTGCTCCAACCTGCCCCAAACTTGTCCCCAGCTGCTTTGCTCAGGTTTAAGGCTGAGCAGGCAGTACTGGGGATGCGAGGATGACGTCAGGGCTGGGACTGAGAGGACCCAGCCTGCCTGAGGTAAGAGCAAATCTCCCTGACATCTAATGGCAGCTGTGCTCCTACAACCCTCCAACCACTTCTCAAAATTTTCCCCAAAAGGAAATGGATCCCGAGCATAAAGACACATTTCTGCTAATCCAACACTGCTGAAGTGGCTCAGCATTTGCACAGTGGGTCTTTCAGAGCTAACATTTACCCGGTTTTCCCAGAGGGAAATGAGGAAGGAGCAAACTACATAACCCAACAAAAATTTTTCACACACTCCCAGCTTTCTGAAAAAAAAAAAAAAAAAAAAAAGGTCTTTGGGAAGTCATCCAGGCAGCTTTTACCTGCCTTGGACTTACCCATGGCTTCTCCCTCTCCCGGGATGCTGGTGGGGGTCCCTGAGCCCAGCGGTGGCCAGGCTGGTGGCCAGGGGCCATACTGAGCACTGTCACAGCCTCACCCTGCTCATGACAGGGATGCTTTGTTTGCTTTTCGTGCCTGTGTGATCTGAATCACCCCTTCAGCTTCTTCCCTCGGGATCCACCTAAAGAGAAGTGTCCCATGGCCACCGCCACAGCATGCGAGGGGAGAGGTGTGTTACAGCTGCCACAGCCCTTTGTCACCATCATGGACTGAGCCCTGCACAAACCACCCAGCCTTCTCTGAGTGGACTTCAAACCCACGTCTTCTTGTCCCCTGGGCAGCATTTACCAGCAGAGACATCTAGGGCTGACACTACCCTGAAATGTCCGTGTTGATACTGCTGCTGGTGGGATACTCTGTGTTTGGAGCTCCCTTTTCTAGCTAGGCTGGTGCTGCTCTGGTAGGACCATCAGCTCTCTATCACCTGGGACTGCCAGGGAGTAGACATCCCACCCTGGGCATCTAGGGAGCTCCAGCATCTCATTTCAGAGCTGGCTTGAGTCTGGAACCACCCTGGAGCCAGAAAGAGACCCACCCCATGGTCTCTGGCATGAGCCAGAGGGACCCCTCCCAGGCACACCAGAAACCCCAGGAGAGCTCAGGCAGAGGACAGTGGTGTTGCACAACTGTCCCCATGCCCTGATCCCTGAGGACCTGGCACTGGAGATCACACAAGGGGCTTGCAAACATTTTTTACCAAGCTTTGCCTTCTCCCACCTCATCCCTGAGCCACTCCTGGGACATCAAGTAAACCTCTCCCTTCCCGTGGGCTGAAGCATGGGTTCACCGTGGTGGTGGGGCTGCAGGACAGAAAACACACATCCCCCCATCCTGACACAGTGCCCGACGGGCACCGGCACTGCCTGTGCTGCCTGCTGTCAGTAAGAAAAGAGAGGAAATACCCCTGGCCACCCTGCTCGGGCACCCACCCGTGTCCCAGCAGCAGCCACCCAGGAAGAGGAGAGACAGTGGGTGACAGCGAGATGGGACCGTGCACGGCTCTGCTCTGCGAGACATCAGGAAGGCGACAACAGCAGCGGCGCTTGGTTAGTCACCACCAGGAAGCGTGCCACGCCGGAGGCTGCTGGCAGGACGGCAGCATTTTCAGCCACCTGGTGTGCGTGGCCTTATTTTGATGATGGTTTCAGGATATCTGTGAGGAGGGGTGCAGCCGGGCATCAGGAGCCGCTGGGAAGCGCAGAGGAAGGAACAGGAAGAAACTACGGGGACTTGTTGGGGACAGTCCCCAGGGTCCCCTTGCCATGGGGCCAGGCTGTCCGCCTAAGGACCAGGCTCCATGTGGGGTGGTGTGACTCGGGAGACAGCTGCTGCAGGTGCTAAAACTGGGTGCCTGTCACCTGCTGGGGGTGCAACCGTCAAGGTGACACGTGTGCAGGAGGTTTGGACCAAAGTTCCCAAAGCTGGTGGGGACACGGCATCCGCCATCCCCTTTCCTGGTAGGGCTCGCCCATCCCTGCCTGAATGACGGCTGGAGGGAGGCAGGGGAGGACACAGGAGCGGGGACGCAGCAGATGCATTTCGTCACCCGGCCAAGGGGCGTGTGTGTGTGTTGGGGGAAGGGGTGGCTGGGCGTGTGGGTGCATTTATTGCCTCTTCCCGCCAGCACCGGCTCCCTGTGCACACACGGGTGGCAGGGACCCAAGGGCACAGCCCACAGCTAGCTGGACTTTTACCCTGCTGTGCAAACAGGCAGGCGCCAGATCAGGGTATCAGTTGGAATTTCATCCTCTCAACGGCACCTTAGCCCCTTGCCCACCCATGGGCACCCCTACGCAGCGAGTGAATTTGGGAGATGCACATTTCATCCCCCTCCAGGACTCTGTTCCCCTTCAAGCTTCCCCCTGGAGCAAGACATTGCAGGTGACAGTGATGCGTGGGGCTGGGCTGCCACCACCCTGTCCCCTGCCAGGGCAGGATCCCACTGGCCAGTCCCGTGTGCCAATGACAAAATTGGACATCAAAGGCAGGCAAAGCCTGGCGAGGGAGGAGGATGCATGTGGAGGAGCCAGCTCCGGCATGGGGACCAGACTGGAGTCTCCATGCAGAGGTGGACCCTGGTTGCCCCAGTCCAGCCCAGCTTTTTGGGCAGGTGGTACATCCAGTCCCTTTTTGTACATGGCACCATCTCTGTTTCCTCTGCCTCCCCCAGCCTGTTTGAGCTCCTGATGCCCCACATCCCCTCGCAGGGGTGAAGGGAGGTGGTGGTCCCACACCATGGACAGCCCTGGCGCCGTGCCGGTGAGCGCAGGGTCACCTGGGTGTGGCAGTAGGTGCAGCTGCTGCTGCAATATCAGGAACAATCCCTCTGCTCCATCCCTCTGTCTGCAACACCACCTCATCCCGCCCCTGCTCCTCCATCTCCTCCCCCACGAGGACTTTATCACGCATCGGGTGTCCCTCCGCAGCCACCTGCCCTGCCCGGGCACATCAGCACACATATCCCCGCCTCTTTCCAGGCAACGCTTGGCACATTTTAGGGCTGGAGGAGCAGTTTTGGGCAGGGATTCGAGGCCAGCCCCTTGCTCAGTGACCTGCAGGACCGGGGGATGTGTCTGGGATGGAGAGAGGAGAGTGTAGGGCACTGATGCCAGCTGTCCCAGGCACTATCTCACGTCCTCATTCTCTGTTTGCTCTTCTTGGACAAGGAGGATATTCAGCCCATCAACAGCCATAAAACAAGATTAGAGGCCAGGAGGCACCAACGGGAGGTGGGCAGCTGGCCTTGTTCTTTGGCCTCTGCCAGCCCAAACCCAGCCTCACCTTTTTTCCGGCTGCCCCCGGGGCTGTGAGTTTGCAGCCGTTGGGTTGCCCGGCACAGCCAGCCCTCTCGGTGACAACGGCCATGCCACCCCCAGCAATGCCCCTGTGGGGTGGGCACACTGCATGCTGCTGCATCAAGACATCCATCTGCACTGGTTTTGGTGGGGCTG